ATATGTATTATATATAACTTTATATATATCAGGATATCCAGTAAGTATTGACAAAGCGCTCGTGTGAGAGTAGAACGAGCAGCTTAAACTGGACTCAGTTTCGACTGCAGTCGAAACTGAGTCCTGTATAAATTTGCAATTTTCGCAATAGTTAACAAGATATTCATTAGTAAAAATTGCCGAATATTCCTACAGCATAGAATTTGCAGCAATATTGCTACAAAATCTTTGCAATATTGCTGCAACTTTTGTGCTGTAGGAAGTGGTCTTCAATAATTTTTTACTTAAATACTATCAACTTTACAGAAAACAGTGAGAGATAAAAATTGTTTATTATCTTCTCATAGAACTCTAAGAATTTTTTCAGAAATTTTTATCAACTTTTTAGTACTGCATTTTCTTATACATTCTATATATATATATATATATATTGACAACTACTTTACCACTATCAGAAAATATGGTATTAAAAAATTCTGAAAAAATTCTTAGAACTTTATAAGAAAAAAATAAACAATTGTTAATTAAAAAATTATTGAAAATCAATATTCAGCGATTTTTAATAATTAATATCTTGTTAACTGTTGCGAAAATTGCAAAATAATAGAGAACTTTTCGACTCAGTTAAGTACGTTTTATCTACACACAAGCGCTTTGTCAAACTTACCAGACACCCTGTATGTACATATACAATATTATATGTATATAAATCATAAAAGTATATAGGCCGATTTTATTCATAGTCGGATTTTATATTCAAGACCGTCTAAGTACAGTCTTAGTCACGAACCAATCAAAGGATTGTATTGGTGTCTTAAGACATTATTTAATTAAGATAGTCTTGAAATAAGAACGAACTATGAATATTGCATAGTATTATATGTATACACCAAATATTTGTTTTACAAAAATAATTATATAAAAATTACATTTAAAAGCAATTAAAATTTTCTGTATATATTTCTTCTCTATATTTTATATACATACAAACATGTATGTATATATAAATATTTAAGTCATAGTAGAGCTTCTTCTCTTTCCTCTTTTCATATATTTTCATAATTAGTTCACAATTAGTTATATACATACACGTATACACACAAAAGTAAAGATTATTTCTATAATAAAAAATATCTACAAAATAAATATTATTTTTATTTAATTTCTTCTTCCTTATTATATGTATTACTTATATTTTCTATATGTTTGTTATAATGTGCGTGACAGTATTTTTATTTATTTTTATGATTCTCTCTCTTTTCTCTCTCTCTCTCTCTCTCTCTCTCTCTCTCTCTCTCTCTCTCTCTCTCTCTCTCTCTCTCTCTCTCTCTCTTATAATAGCCCGAATAGAAATCATGAATCATCCAACAATTAAAATATAAAGCTAAAATAATGGCAGGTCGTTGCCTGCGTGAAATCAGGCTAGGGCGGTAAAGGTGAAAGGTCAAAGGCAACGGGCTAGCACAGATATCGACTCGGGTGAGATCGAGAAGGCGAGGTAACCGGGTTACAACCGGGGTGGCGGATAGGCACCCTCCAAAGCGGGTTGCCCTAGAATTCGACTTCGGCGTTTTCGCACACGCGCGTTCAACAACACCCCCCTCGCCTTTGTATCATTTGCGAGGATTGCAAAATAAGAATAAATATATAAATTGCTGTATAAATGCAAAGCACGATTTATTATCGCTAGTATAACATTTTATCCTAAAACAACTCCTAATAATCTCTTCTTTTTAATTTATATGAGTTATTAGATGATATTTTGTAATATTATATCCCTCGATCTATAATCCAAATAGAAACACTTATACATAAAATTTCTTTATATAAATTCCTTTCTTTTATATAAATTATCTCTCGGTAATTATCATTGAGTTTAGATCAATTGTTTGAATTTTTTTTTATAATCATGGTCAGATTGTTTCCTTTTCTTTTTTTTTGCGAATGCGACACTTCCGTGTAAATGCGGTGAAAGTGACAGGTCAGCTGCTGTTATGTTCGCATCCCCGCCTAGATTCAACCCTGCGCGAGGTCCCTATTGCGCATGCGGTTGCCGATAGAAGGGATGAAGTAGAGGAAGAGAGAGAGAGAGAAAAACGGAGAAATAGAGAAGAAGAAAGAGAGAGAAAAGGAGAAAGAGGGTAGAGGCGCATGCAGTGCGGCTGTCTGCGACTGCTCATGACTCGTCCGTCAGTCGGTAGTCGTGGGTGGTTGCACGCACGCTCGGGGGTGACGGGTGCGTCTACATTGCGCGAGGAGGGCGATGGAGATTTCGTGCGCCTTGCTGGCGATCGAGTGAGACGCGCCATTCGTTGAACTGTGTCACATCGTCGTCGTCGTTGTCCGTATATCAAATTGTTCGTGATAAGAGTGGCACGAATGGACAAAGGCAGCGCATAAAAGAAGGAACCCTCGCGAGCGCAACGGGGTGACAAAATGTCGATGTATCACTGTTTATTGTGAACGAGTCGAAGAAACGAGGCAGAAAGGCAAAGGGAGAGAGAGACAAACAGAGAAAGAGAGTAAATAAGAGGATTGATAACGATTGCGATACCTATCTCTCTCTCTCTCTCTCTTTCTCTCTCTCGGATTGTTGGTACGCGCAGTCGTTTTTGATGTTGTTGGCTGGCTTGATGCCTGTTTCTTCTTTTTTGTTTGCTATATATTTATTGCTGTTGCTGCCGCCGTTCGCTGCTGCAGCGGTCATTTGCGACCGAATTAAAAAAAAAAAGAGAGAGAAAAAGATGTACTCCAGCATAGCCTTTTTGTTGTCTCGTTGTTGTCGTCGTCGTCTTCGTTGTCCTTAGATTCCTCCAATATATTCATCCTTAAAAGAAAAAAAAGAATTTTCATTGCTGTCGTGAGAGAATGAGAGTTACATGATGTATCCGAGGGCCACCAGCCAGCCTATAATTTCCTTTTTATCACAAGTAGATGATACTATTCTTCTCTTCTTCTTGGTGCCTCTTGCGTGTCGCGTTCGTCATGGTTTACTTTGATACAACAATTATCTGAGGACCATTACGTCGAATATTTTCCTGTCTATATCTTTATGCACGCACATATCCGTCGCCTATGCATGTCGTTCTTATCCGTTAGATAACGACTAACTATCCAACTCACTCGTCATGCATTTTTAACTGCTGCACCGTGGACAACGATTCCGAATCTTCGGGTATAAGCAGCTAATTTCCAATGTGAATAATTTGTGTTCTGTTTCATCAAGTTTAATAACTTCAACCGCGCTATTATATTTACGCAACACTGAAATTCAAGAGAAAGATAGAAGAAAATAAAAAGGGAGAACTGTATTAATTAATTATTTGCCGCTTTCTACAATCTTTGTAGAAGGGGAGAGATAATTAATCGATTATCGTCAGTCTGAATTAAAATAGAGTTAATACAAGTAGTTAATACTAATTCTATTTTCTCCCTTTTCTTTTTTTAAACTTTTTTTTAGAATATTAGAAATTCTGCATTAAAATTATCAGTATAAAATCAATTTAGATTGTATATACAATCGAACTATATTAGATTCATTAACTTCAAAGATTTTAATAGATTAAAATTAAAAATTCAAACAATTATTGCCTTCTCAATGATTGCGTGTATCAATATCGATTAATTATTTAATTAATTTATTTAATTAATTTAGAATGATAATATAGTCGGTTTTTTGTTTAAAAAGGATTTATTTCTAGAGATAAAAAAAATTATTCGATTACTTTTGAAACTAATAGACATTGCTGAGATCAGTCATAAAAGATCGCAGTAATCAATAAAAAGAAATTCGCGCATTTTGCACGTGGCCTGCAATTTGTTTCACTATTCACTATTCTTTTCTCATTGCTTTTTCTTCGCAATAAGCGCTTGCAACGTGTAATCACTAATCAAGCACTTTTTATATAAATGTATGTAAATATGCATAAAGTAGAAACTGCTTCTAATACTTTTTGAATATTGTAAATAATAGTGTAAATAATAGTGTAAATAATATATGACAATTATGAATTGTCACAATGCTTAAAGAATATTGTAAACGCTTCTCCCGCACACATAAATCGATTAAAATTAAATCTTAAATAAATCAAACGTTTTTTTTTTATATATCAATCAGTTCATGTTGACAGGGTTGTTAGCGAAAAAGAAAAAAAAATTTCCCTAACTTTCACTTTTTGAAAAAATTCCCTGACTAAAACTTGAAAGATTCTTTGAATAAAAATAAAGAAAAAATTAAAATATTTTATCTTACAAATAATAAAATTATTAGTGCAATAAAATATAATGGAAAATAAACATAAAGTTTTTTGTAATATTTATAGTAGCATATTATAACCTCACTTGATTAATATATACACGGGGATAAATAACTACCGATTCAAAGTTGCATGTATCGGAGATCAGAAAGCATAAGAAAAAATGAGAAGGTGTGAGAAATAATAAGAAAGCTTGAAAAGGTATGAGAAAATGTGTACATACGCCGTATACTCTTGTCATGTATTAGTTACATATATTTTTACTATCGGATATTCTTGTTTAGAAAGATCATGATTATAATAAATAAACAATAAATTATTTAACTTAAATAAGTTGCAAATAATACAATATAATATGACTTAGAAGTGTGAATGTGTTGCAAATGTTAACACTTTGACGTCCGAATAAAAATCTGTTATAATCGTTGTGCAACTAATTGTTTTATACAACCTGTAACTAATTTTATACACAACATGAACGATATGCGAGCATTTTTTTTCGATGCTGCGACACGTGGTATCGCCGGCATTTATCTGATAGCTTTGCTCGCGAAACCAACGTGGTGTCACTAGACGGCATAGACTACGTTCCATTTAACGCTCACACACTCGTAAAATCATTTCATCCTTGTCATCAGATGTTAAACAAGGACAAACGAGATGCTCGCGAGCATTGCGAGCGTTAAGTGAAACGCAGCCATAGTGTTAAGTGAAATATATGACTATTGATACACAATGAATTAAAAAAAAAATAAATTACAAGAAATAGCGGATTATATCTTTGTTTTGCACATTGCTTATTGAGATTTAATCATTTCATTAAAATACTGTATGTTCTAATTATCATTTTAATTAATTTTAATTAGAAATGATTTACGAAATATTCATCTCACACATTAAACATACATATTTTGACTTTTACAAAGTTAAGTTTTTTTCTTTTTAACAACATCCATTAATGGTTTTCTGCAAATTGTTCATTGCAAAATTAAAAATAAAAAAAAATATTTGCATTGTTTCTTTAACAAATTTTTAAAATTCTGTCATAATTTTTAAAAAAGTAAAGTTTAAACTTAGAATTTTATATTTACAATAAATTAATTATTGTAAAAGTTTATTAACTTAACTTAAGTTTATTAACTAATAAATTAATTTTATTTTAGGTTAATAAATTCCTTAATAATAATTTCCCTGACTTTTCCCGGTTTTCTCTGATTATTTTTTAATTTCCCTGATCGCTAACAACCCGTAAATTTATCTTAAGAATAAATTAATAATGTACATATTTTATCAAAATCAAATTTAGAAAATAATTTTTCGAAAGCATTAAATTGCTCCATAGGATTGTCATTTATTAATGCAAACTGAGTTTTTAAATATTTTAGATTATTTTCGCATGTAATATAATTTATATGTGTATAAAAAATATTATATACTTACAATTATTCTATTATACTTACTTAAATATAGTTAAAAGAATATCATTAATTTGTACAATATTATTTCACTATTCCAAAATTATACTAAATAAAATTTAGTTAAGGTGTTCTCAATTTCACAAAAAATTATTTCTTAAATAAACATATGTATAATTATGTACATAGAATTTTCTTGTGTTATGCTAGAATGTAGTTATTGTAGATGTGGCAATTAAATGTAAATTAAACATAAACACACACACAAACACACACACACACACACACACACACACACACACACACACATCCACACACAATTTTACAATTTTTGTTATTCAGCGAACGCATAACTGAAATATTCTAAATAGCATTTTATACGAAAATTACATTAATTATTAATTAAATAATTAATAATGTTCAAATCAAGAAAAAAAAAACAAATTTTAATCAGATTATATATTTGGCAAATTAATTTTTTAATTTTATCTTAAAACTGAATTAAATAATATATTGAAAAAATACAAAATTAAAAAATCTGCGACATTGTATAAGAATGTGATCGTAATTGATTACATAATATTTGTATTAATATATAATTCTTGAATTTTTGATTCAATTTCTACAATTTTTTGTTTTCTTTTTCTCATTTAAGACCTTATTTCGCTTTAAATACAAAAAAAAGTACAAAATTAATAATGATAATTAAAAAGAATAGATCTGTGTATATGTATATATCACTTGATTGGAATTTTAGAATTGAAAAGGAGTTTTTGAATTAAAAAGAAATAATATTTTCCATTTTTCGGAATTAACTATGTGAAAGAAATAGTGTAACTTATATCATACGTGCGTACACGAGTCACTAAGCTAATAATGTGTTATGTGTTCGCCGATTACGTGTTCGCTCGATTAGTGAAGATTTAATCCAACGCAAAATGAATCGCTTTTAATCGTGCTTGCCGCGTAGTGATTTAGAGACGTAGACCATAACGACGGGCGCCAAAGACGGGCGGAGCTCCGTCACATTTCTTGCCTTTCCAGAGGGGCAAGGAAAAGAGTGAAACAAAGAAAAGGGAAAGAGACTGATATTTCTTCGGGATAGAACAAAGGTGCGAAAAACATATACCATGGCAAGGACTGATCATCAACCGATAATGCGACATAATTCGTAACGGGAACGGGGGGCTGCCCCGAATACGGAGTCGCCTTGAGACGGCAAGCGAGGAAACGACCCGGTAACTCGCGGAGAGATGTATGCCGCGGCGGGAGGTGCGAGTATCGCCAATCGGAGAAAGCAGAAGCGGCTGCAGCTCAACAAGCAAGTGCCGATCAATGTCGTTCCATCAAGACTGAAGACTGGCTTACCTCCTGGTCCGCGTCACCAGCAACACTATCAGCATCACCAGCATCAGCATCAGCACCAACACCAGCATCAGCATCATCACCAGTATCATCAGCACCACCACCATCACCACCATCACCCGACCAAGCTCGCCGCCTGTCCGCATCAAGTCACATCAGCACAGCAAGCCCCGCGAGCGCAAAACCAGGCACCGACGTCGACGTCGTCGTCATCCGCTGCATTTCACCCGGTCATCGACGATCGGCGCCGTCACATCGACCGTCACAAGTCCCAGCAGGTCGCTCCAGTCTCGCCGATCCAATTCCCGATTTCACCGCCCCCGCTCTCCCTCGAATCCTCGGCATCCGCCACCACCTTCCCGGCCAACAAGTCCAGCAACTTTCCCTTCCCGCCACCCTCAATCCTCGATCTCCGAGTTTCGCCTCCTACTTCGGAGCTACAGGTGGGTAACATCATCGGGTACTCTCTCCTCATCACCAGCCTCTTTCGGGCTCACGCTATTCTTTAGTCGCTCTCTGTCTCTCTCTCTCTCTCTCTCTCTCTCTCTCTCTCTCTCTCTCTCTATCTCAAGTCACTATTACTATCTTCCACTTTACGTTCATGCATACTTCTTACAGAAATCATGCAAAGCGAGATAAATTGTGCCCTCCGCAATGTGTGCATTGGGCAGAGAAAATTATTGATTATTCAATTTATTATAATTGTTACAAATAATAAAAAGTGATATATCTTGTATAGAAATCGTTCCAATATTCGTTTGCATTATTTTTGCAGTATATTTCCTTATTCTTAAGTCTGTGGATTACATTATTATATTATTAAAAGATAATAGAAGACAAACAAATTTCTTTATCGCCACAAATTTTGGGAAGAAAATATTTATTTTAATTTTTCAATTTCAATTCTATGTCGTGTGTGTCTGAACACACAACTGATCGAAAATTCGATTACTTTATACCGTCATCTCTGCCAAGTGCATTATTGAATTAGATTAACGAGAATTATCAGCTCACTTCTCTATCGCTTTAGCGCGACTCACCCTCACTCAATGCGTATATGCTCCCTCTGATTGCACCACATCTCTTTTGCCGGCACCTCAACGTTATATAGTAAATAACATCGATCGGCTGTCTGGTGGCGTATTACACGCGATAAACCCATCGAGAGCAGCGTAAGAGAGGCGACAGATTCTCCATGCCCGAATATCTCCCAAGCCCTCAAATTGGCTAAAGGCTCGTAATATAATTTCAGTATAGCGTGAAACATGCTTCCCACGATTATCATCGAGGAGAACGAACAGCGATCGATGCCGATGGCGGGTAGCGCAACATTAGATCGGTATCGATCGCTGATGGAGCTTTGAGGTGGACTGGTCTCTTCGCATCGTATCGGGGGAAAGGAAAGAATAAGAAAAGAGAAAGAGAAAAAACTGGGCAATCAGGGGGCTGAGATCTCAATCGGTAGTATATACAAATGAACGAGCGGAATGCAGGCTGCTCTATTAATTAGACGAGATAGACGAGATAGACAGCGATTACGGGGGGGTAAGATTGGTAGAGAATTACCTTCCAATTTTGCCACCAGACTCATTCCACCGCTACCACGATATCCCCCACGATCTTATGTATACGGGGTAAGTATCAAGAATTCATGGCTGTCGAAAAAGTGATTTTGATCCCTTCGCATAAATTCTATAAATTAGGATCGCGCAAAGTACCAACACTTAGAACCGAGCTTGTTATGAATAAGGTTTGACGTAAAAGTTTTTTCGAAATCGTGTACGCGCATATCTCATTGATCAATATTCCTTCGGGCCGATTACGACGAAATCAATCAGGCAATCATGAAGCAAAGAATATATCAATTGCTCAGATAGATCATATATTCCTGTATCATCCACTGAAATAATTTAATACTCTCTTCATTCAGTAAAGTCACGTTCAAAGGAGCTATAAAAAGGATGAAGGATTTTATATTGTGTCTATTGCTTATCTAGAACACTGTGAACTTCTCGCAGAATTTTCTTGCAGAATATAGAGTAGTTACGGGATACAATAAATTAAAGATGCTCAATTAAAAGAATGTATGATTTAATAAGAGTACTTATATTTTAACGGAAGATCATGCGATTCATTAGCCTCAACAATTTATAACAATATGTCTAAGAATTACGCATTTCAGTGCGGCGGCCAAGGACCTGGCGGCAAGGCGGCGTGGCAAGGATGCAGCAGACCTTCGCCCCTTCCTTTATCTCCCACATCGCCTGGATACAGAACGAAGCAATGCGAAGCACATCGACGATGGATGAAAAGAAACAGGGTAATTTTTTCAGATACTAATACAATGTTAGAAGAAAGAAAAAAGAAAGAAGGATATTTATAGTATTATCAACTTTTAGCAGAATGTTTATTTTGTATTACAAGTTTTTGCATTAGTTGGATTATACCTTTAGACCTAGAGGAAAAAATCTTAAAATGTTAAAATCTTCAAGGAGTAGAAATTTTAATACTTGGAACTAGAAATTGTAAAAAATCTATACAAAAATATTATTAGGCACCAAGGTCTGTATTCATAGTCTATTTTTACTTCAAGACCGTCTTAAATAATGTCTTAAAATGCTAATACAGCCCTTTGATTGGTTCGTGACAAAATTTAAGACGGTCTTGAATATAAGAACTAATTATGAATACTGATCCCAAACTCACTTTCATCGAATATGATTTTTTTCAGTGAAAAATGTAAAAAAGCCCATCAGAGCCTATCAGCTGTTCAGATGCACAGAAAATTCTTTATTTTTGTGTGAACGTAACAAAATGAATAAAATATACATTTCAATCCTTCAGTTTGGGTCCTTATCAATATAAAATATAAATCGAAATTACATAAATAACGCAAATTCCAAGTTGACGATTCCCGACAATTTAGTTCATTCTTTTTTATCCAAATGCCAAATTAGTTATGTAATGAATAAATGGGATTTTTTACGCTGATAGATTCTTTCGAGCCTTATTTTATATATTAATTTTCTTTACTTTTTCTTCATTTGTATTGAACATTTCTCGATCCATTTTCACTTAATAGAAAATTTAATTAAACTTTAAGAAATCCTATGTCAGTGAAGAAAACTTCCAACAGTTGCAAAATAAGCATTCTGCTGAACGTGGCCATTTAAAGAAAATAAAAAAGATATAAGAAATCATGTACTTCAGATAAGAGACGCCAGTTACTGCTACGGAAGCAGCGGCGAGGACGACGACGAAGATGACAGCAGTAACGCCATTCATCAGCGAGGCGAGGTCAGCGCGGCGGTGAACACCGTGCTCTACGTCGGTTTGGGGACCACCGCGCTTGGTTTAGTTATCTCATTCGTCGGCACCGGGGAGAAAGGTTTCCTAAGTCCGCAGCTGAGGCTAGTCGGCCCATCGTTACTGTGTGCCGGTTTGCTGTGCTGTCTGTTCCGCGTGTTGCTGTGCCTCTGTCTATGTCACTGTGGTCAGTGTCGCTGGCGATTCTGTCAAGTCGGCTCGCACAAAGAGAAAACGAGGAAAGCGGACACGCAACCGGGACCGGGAACGTTATCGACCGCTTCGTTGTTGCCGCCGTCGATGCATCAAGAACGAGAACGTCCAGTTGCTCCCACGAGCCGCTCCGTGTCGCCGGCGACGAAGGGACACGAGCTCCTGCTCTCACCTGCCCAATTACCGGAGTAAAGGACAACGTGATTCGCGCGCTCACGAACATTTTCTACGAATGAATTCTATATACCATACGCCGATTTACTGCCGGTTCACGCCCGATTGCTCGATCCTAGTTTCCATTACGGCCTGAACCGCGAAATTTCGCAGCCTAAAAAGTAGCCTAAATGCGTCTTAGAGCTTAAACTTAAACAATAGAAGAATAAAAGAATCGGCTATGTTTTTTTTATCCTTGTTATTTTCGAAAAAGTAAAGGAAAATCACCAACTACTCGAGACCGGGTCTCGTTCGCGAAGCCTCTTGATTTATTTACGCTCACGCTTACAAGCTTCTTTACAAAGATTAAAGTTATTTTGTCTCTGATACTTTATCTGAACCAAATCTTATTATGATCATGGATCTTAATGTTAAAACTTAAGATACTTTGCTATGCTTATTGCTAGGCAAATACCGTTCTTCTTTTCCACATGATTGGATCTGTATGTTATCATCTTCATGCCCATATTTCACAGATCACAGTGTGTCTCTGAACAAATACGATAAATACTTATATCAATATCACTTTAACTCCTAATAATCAGGAAAGTTGAAACTGCATCTGCTCGTTCGACGAGTAACTGTAGATGACAGACGAGTCGGAAGTGCTCACGCTGGACGCCGTCGCGGTGATAGCGAACAATTGATCCTCGTACATGCTCTGTGGCTCTGTTTTTCCATTGCCAGTGGCTGTTGCGTTGGGCGGGTTGTCACCTTTTGTTGCTTCACGATATTTTTGCAGGTACACTTTCAGAGGCTCGACGTAATTATCAAAGCCGAGCGTAGTCATGGCAAATAGAATGTCTTCACCATTGATAGTTTTGCGCTTCTCCATGTGACACCTGTCGCTCGCTTCCGAAGTGATGAAGGAGATAAATTCTGACACGCATTCCTGAACACATTCACGCGCATCTTTGGCAATCTTTCCGGACTCTGGAATGGCTCTTTTCATGATTTTGGCAACGTTTGCTATTGGCAAGAAGCGATCCTGCTCGCGAAGTGGCCCACCGCCAGTGGAAACTCCAGGGCTCTGCAAAGGATCCCCCGCGCCATGATTCGAGTCGTCTGTGTTCTCGGGATCATCTGTTTAAAAAAAAAAGCATTTGTTAAGATTTATACATTGTCTTACTATCCAAAGGATTTGACTTGTAATCTGATCTGCGACGACTACAAAGGAGTTACCATGTAAATATACTATCTAAATACAAGTATCAATCTTTTCGTAAGTACTTAGAATTGATATGTTCCCATACCTTTGTATTTCAATAATATAGTCTATGTAAAAGTTCAAGATAGTAGATATGTGCTTTCTTGGCAAATATTTATTATGCTTCATGTCTCTAAGATGATTAATAGATAAAAATTATATGTCGACTGTAAAAAATTTAGTAATAAGGATACAAGATCTATGTTTTGTAACTAAAAATAATGATATTTGATAAAAGCGAGAAGAAAAGTTCTAGTGCAGTCCAGTGCAGTAATAACAAATAAATTTTTAATCAAACTGAAGTGTAAACACACTACAGTTTAATTAATTACCATAACAGAAATCGGATACTATAAATCCAAGATGATCAGAGATATGTCTTCAAGATAACTGATAGACGAAAATCATTCGTTGAAAGTGAAAAATTTAATTTTAAAAAACAAAACGACACTGATCAAGATGTACGAAGAGCCAACTGAAGTATAAACACATTGTGTCTGAGTAAATAGCCACATACTTGTCTCTTTTCTACCCAGAAAATCAGCCTGATCTAACTCGACGTAAACTCGATGACAAAATACAAGGACTTAGATAATATTCAGTAAACTTTCGAGCATCTCAGCTACTTTATCATTCTCGAAGTTAGCTATCTCTCGGGATTCGAGAGGGAAATGCTAACCTACCTTCCATATCATCTGACTGTACGCCAATGTAGGATCCCGCAACAGTATTTCCACCCAAAAATGTCGATCCTAGAGGACCATCATCGCCGCTTTCGCCACTGTTTTCCATCTTCGGTAAAATCCGCACGTGAAACAGATCGAACAATTCAGGCTCCTTTAACCTTTTTCTACCTTTGTTTTTATGTCGTTATAAAAGCTGATTAAACTAGTGGCTGCAGTTGTAATAAGTACGTGTGTACAAGTGTATGTATATACTGATGCACACAGCAAAAGCAATTACGAATTGTGATTGTGAAAGCGTCTAGAAGCGTCTCGTTTAATCACTTTGACCATTTTGACCAACCTTAACCACGTTGAAATCGATCGCAGCCACTCGCAGTAACTGCCACGTGGAATTTTTTCACTGGACCGACCAATCAGAGAGGCCTGTGATGAATTTGGCCAATTGTCAACGAGTTATAGCCTTCTGGAAGCGGCTCTAGGGACTTTTCTCTCGTAAATTACGGAAGTTATGCATTGCGATTGCGCGTCACATTCAAATACTGTCTAATTTCAACCGTGCCTGAAGATTTGAAATTTTAGGGGCTCCGCACAATAAAAAGAATAGGGAACGGAGAACAGAGAATAAGAACTTCAACCTATCAGAAAATGTGTATTCCACAATACATGATTTCTGAAGGTTGAAATTCTTATTCTCTGTTCCTTTTATATTGTGCGGAGCTCCTTACTTTTCTTTTTTCACTAAAACCACAATGATTCAATTTTGAAATTCATTTGGTGAAAAAAATCAATATTAAAGAATTATTAATCGATTTTCTCTGTGACATTATTTACGAAGCAGGGACATCTATAATAGTGTATGGTTGATGTGGAGTATTCCACATTTGAAATTTTTTTCAGTGTGTGGAATTCTACACTTGGAAATCCGAATTTTTTGATGAAATAATTTATTATTTAATATTTTATTAAAAATGAAAGTTGATTAAGCTATATATGAAAAGTCACATATGTTTATAACTCGATCGGCGGTTGCTTCTTTCACGTATATATATTGGGTGTGGGAAAAAGTTCGTGGCGTTTTTCCCGCTAGATGGCATTAAATGCTCAGCAGTCGGCAACTACTAATCGCATCGGCAACACTAGACGTGCGTTTAAAAAGTGACATTTTAACCTTTGTTTTGAACCGAAAAAGATTGAAATCGGTGAAGTGGATCAAAAGTTATTTTATTTTGAAAATGGAAATAAATAAGGAAAAAATTCGCTATTTATGGTAAAGATAAGATTTTGCAGTATCACTACGATAAAGGCAAGAATGCTGCACAGGCTTGTGAAAAAATTTGCGCTATTTATGGTAAAGATACTCTATCAAAATCAGCCGCACGGAAATGGTTCGCTCCGCTTTCGTGCTGGAAATTTCGATGTGAAGGATGAACCTCGCTCCGGTCGACCAATCACTGAAAAGTCCGATGAAATCATGGTAAAAGTCGAGCGTGATAAGTATGTGAGCACTGTGGAGATTGCCAGGGAACTAGGCATCGACCACAAAACAGTTTTAAATCATTTACACAAAGCTGGATACAAAAAGAAGCTTAATATTTGGGTTCCTCATGAGTTGAGTGTTAGGAACATGATGGACTGAATTTGTGATACGCTACTGAAACGGAATGAAATTGAGCCATTTCTGAAGAGAATGGTAACTGATGATGAAAAATGGATCACCTACGACAATTCAACTAGAAAAAGATCGTGGATAGAGAAAGGAGAGAAGGCGCAAGCAATCGCAAAACCTAGATTGATGAGGAAGAAGGTGATGTTGTGTACAACAAGCAATTGAGAGGAAGCGGCCAGAATTAATCAATAGAAGACATCGTCTTCCATCACGACAACGCTCGACCACACACATCTTTGATAACTCGGCAAAAATTGCGAGAGCTTGGCTGAGAAGTTTTAATGCATCCACCGTATAGTCCTGACGTAGCACCCTCAGATTATCATTTATTTAGGTCTCTGCAGAATTCTCTTAATGGTATAAAGCTAGCTTCAAAAGAGGCCTGTGAAAATCACTTGAAGCAGTTTTTCGATCAGAAACCACAGTTTTATCGCGATGGAATTATGGCTCTGCCCCAAAAATGGCAAAATATTATAGAAAATAATGGAGCATATTTGGTTTAAATAAATTGATTTCAATACTCTAAGAAAAACACTTTAATTTTACTAAGAAATCACCACGAACTTTTTCCCAATATTCTGTTCATTCATAATATTCATTAATTTCTTGTAGCTACTTTTACATAAATTTCGTTGGAATAGTCTTCAATGATATGCATGCAGAGTTGGGAAATAACGCCGCCATTACTGTTTTCGTTATTTTTTTTTTGTCACACTGGAAAAAGTAATGGTAATGGTAAATACAGTATAATGTCGTTACATTTTTATAGTAATGGTAACAAATTTAGCCGTTACTTTTACCATTACTTCAATTTATTTTTTTATTTTATAATTTATTCTTAATTTCTTAAAAAGTATTTTGGACTTAATCTTTTATACTGTGTTCTAATAGGCACTGCCAATGTTGAAAATATATAATTCACATTACATATACAGAATGTCTGTAATAATTGTTCTGAATTTTACATGTTTTTATTTGACAAATACTTATTTTAGTCTCTCGAGTTGTTACTTCAAAATTATTCCAATGCAAATGTTTCAATAGTAGCATCTAATGTCTGCGCAGAATCGTCAAAATCATATGAAATTCGTCTCGAGAACAAGCATAGGATTTCTTCCACCATGGAACTTAGCTAATTATATTAATTAATTACATCAATATTTTTTTGTTTTATATTAAATATACAATAAAATATAAAAAATATGTAAATAGAAATAATTTTAATATAAATATCAAATATTCATTAACTAAAAACAAAAATAGGAAGTCATCAAATTGTTACCTTCTGCAATTCTAATAGGATACCATGCCAATGGCGTTATCATTCTAATTAAAATATCACACCAAAAAATAAATAATGTATCTGTCAGGAATATTTCTTTATTTGATGAAAATAAGCTTTTATGATACAACAAAATGTCAAATGCATTGCTTCATTATTTTCTTTAAATGCTTTGTGATCTTACCGATTTCCAAAGTTAAATGGAAATAGGCAAATAGTTTTATAATTCTTTCTGCCCCTTGCTTGTACCACTCTCGAATTGTGTTCTGTAGAAATCATTGGCAATGTCGATAATCGATTTGATCTGTACAGTCGCAATCTTTATTATACGCTGCAAATAATCTGTAGTTTGTCGATGATAATTCTTCAATGGCAGCCCTGATAACGTTTGCGCATTTTGCAGAAACATGTCCGTCTGTTGTTCATAACGCCATGAAAGCATCACCATCGCTACGGTAAGTAACGAGCTAATCACGAAGAACCATACGATTACGCACGTGAAAGATCGACATAGTCTAGTACCTGGATCACAAGCAACATGAAATAATACACGATATATACCATAAATGATTTTTTATTTATGAATTAAAAAATTATCAAGATCAATATTCATTTACCTGTCGATTTGTACGATTTACGCGTAGATGCATTATTGGATGATGATCCCATTAATCTTACGCTATCGTTATTGTCCTGTAAGCATCCTTCGCTCTGTGTTGGAGAATCAGTTTTATTTCCATTCATCTTCTCCTTTTCTACATCCTTTTTCTTCTTTTTCTTCTTGTTCTCCTTTTTTGTACTTGGCATCTCCTTGTCTGCATCGCCTGCAGACGCAACATATCAATAAATACTAATTAACTTCTAACTGTAATGTCAGTGTTACAATTTCATCACACTTATACCTATTCTTATTAATGTAGATTTTTATAATTTTACTCTGTAAAACTTTTTGAGTAAATCTCATTTTAAAAAGTGAAGTATATGTCACTCTTAAAGATTGAAAATTAAATTATTTTTCAAGACTCAATTTTCACTCTTGATTTCACTTTAAAAAAATTGAGTATAAAGTTATCTATATTCGTGGAGGCATTAGACTGGGTTGTTTCATCTTTTGATAAATCTCAATTCATTCAAATTAAGAAATAGGAAACAATTTGTCTTTGAACAAAGCAATTGAATAGCAATTGAAACTTTGCTCATTTTATTGGTCATCTTCCTATTCAATTGTCTCAATTCACTCTTTTATTCTCTTATTTACCTATTAGAGAAATTAATACATACTTTATCTCTAAAGATGGCAACCAACTCTTAACAAATAATATGACTGTTACATTATTGAATGTAAAATTATAATATCAATGTTTATATTAGTTACTACTATTTACTAGGATTATGCAAGGCTTAAATGACTGTGTTACGAGTGGCGTATACCTGTGACATTATTTAATCTACGTAATCTCTCTTCCTCGATGACAAGTTTAACATTGGACAGATAAGTGACAATATTACGAGCGCATGCTTGACACTCGCGCATATTACTGCATGGTCCCGCAACACTGGCTACAGCCTCGGTTAAAGGATTTTCTTTCAAATCCAACCACCGTAGATTTTTTAATTCGCTCAAGCTCAGAGGTAATCTGCTGATCTGTAAATTATGCAAATTATGCACAATTTTGTCAAAAGACAAAGATAAGAAGAAATTTACCTTATTAGCATATAAATCCAAGTGTTTCAATTGAGTCATCTCGCCAAAATTTTCAGGAAGTTCGACCAACATATTTCTGCTGAGATCCAATTTTACAATTTGTTTCAAAGTAACAAAAGTGACCTACAAAAATTCGATGTCCACAATAGCAGATATTTAAATATTCAAATACAGATATTTAAATATTCAAATTATATAAAAATTTTTGAATTTTATGTAGTCTAATAAAACGTACCGGCAGTGAAACCAAAAGATTGGTTGATAAATTGACATTTGTGGCTTTTCTAAGAGATGCCTGAAATATAACAAAATTTATATGAGGAATATTTATATTGCTCCTATTTTATGACACAATAATAATATATTAATTAATTTGTAAATTAAACAATGTTTGTCCCTTAATCTACTAGAAAAATTACATAAAATATTTTAAGTATTCTATATACTGAAATACAAATTTATACAATATAAGTTATTCTAATATTGCATACAGTAAAGTTAATAATGTCAACAAATATTCAGTTTAAAAAAAAAAGAAAAAAACAAAATAAAGAAGACTTACGATTTCTCGCACAGGCACTTCCTCCAAGTCGCACAAGCTGAGATCCAGGGTGTCCTCCTTCAGCTTGTCCTTCACATCTTTTAACTTTAGTTTGATGGTCATGTCTGTCAAATTTTGTGTGAAACGTGAACGCAGGCCACTCCGTGTGTCTGCGACGTCAGATCGCGATTATCGAGCCTCGCGCACATGCCCCGGCCCCGTACACGTAAGCAGGTATACGTATCCGGGAGCGCGCTTGACATGTAATGAATACACACCAAGAGGCTCACGTGGGCGTTGAATATCTAACGGCTAACGGATGCTTAACGGGCACCGATAATCGCGTCGACTTGTCTGCACTTGTATTCCCTGCAACTTCGTGTTTTGCGACCGCACGTTTTGACCAGACTGGTACTTACCGACAAGGATAAATTGCGTGTTTTGCGCGACGTGTCACTGAAGGAGGGAGAAAAGGAGAGAGACAGAGAGAGATTTCCTCTCTTCGTCGACTTCGCTCGTTAGCCAAATCTGGTCAAACTGCATTTAACTCGTCGATAAACTCCGATCATCGTCTTCGATCCTCCTTTGATCTCTATCATTTCCTTTATTTTGATCGTAGCTGAACGAAATCCTTTTGCAGGGCATTCTAGATCCTTTTTTTTCCCCTGGAAGATCATTCACCTATAGTAAGTACAGTAAGAGATATTAGAGTTTCATCTGTATCGTATTAGTGTGCTTCTCAATCGGATTTGAAAGGACGGATTTATCAGACGAGAATGCTGTGATACTAATTTTACGAACGTGTAACGAGCTGAATTTTGTAGATTATCGAGGAGATGGTGAACATTCGAGATTTACGAGACTTGGAATCATAAACATTCTCGCGACAAGAGATAGCAGCAAATTTCAACTCTTGAAAAAAAAATACATTTTCTATATATATCTATATATATCTCATAATGTCTACGCGATATATGAAAAAGGTCTACGGCAGCGATGTGACCTTGGAAACGGGTAACGACAATACGAGTGACACGGAAGTTTCAGTAACCAGCAACACCAAGTCCAAGTCTTTCAATGTTTTCGATGTGGTATGTAGAACTAAACATTATCACATCATTTTATTCCTTTTTGAATGAAGATAACATTAAAACTATGTCCACAGTTGAACTCTGATAAGGAGGATATTGATGACAGACAGGAAGATGAAGATCTGGTTACAAACAGTACAGATTACAATACAAAGCGTAAGAAGAAGAAAAAGCATAAGAAGTTGGAAAACGAGAGAATCAAGAATCAGCAAGAGCATGATGGAGAATGTAATGAGAACATAGACGAGATTGAACGAAGTATAAGGGAGGTAAACAAATTGCTTGGGGAACCACTACCAGGTTGCAGTACTCAAGTTTTGGAAGCGCAATGGGTCGATGATATATCTAAGGAAGATATATTAATTGTACAGCGTAAACACTTGAATCCACATAACGAATTAAAAAGAATCTTTGGTAGCAAAACTATAGAGGCTGGACAAAGGTAAAATTACATCTATATGTATAATTATATCTTATATAATGTGCAGATAACATTTGTAATTTGTAAGTTTTTGTTGAGCGAAGAATACTTTTGTTTTCCTACAGCAAGAAAAATAAAGGTCGCCCTGGAAATTTAAAGAAGACATGGTTGATTTACCCAGAAGATATTTATTGGGTATCATTAAAAAAATCTGGATTATCCATGTCTCTAGATCTAGATTACTCTACAGAGACCACAGAGAATGTACTTTATTTTGTATACGAACATAGTGCTTCGTACAAAGAGATACAACAAAAATTTTTGCAAGCTGTTGAAAGTTTAAATCCAGAAAATATAATTGTAAGTCAATATGCAGCAACATTAGTGATATTAGACTTAATGCTTCGCATTTCTAGCATAATATCTTTAATTGTTTTATCATATATTATGAGCTTATTTACTAGATAAAAATGGTTCACTTCGAAATCTATTCAATATATAAATATTAATATAAGTTATTATGTTTCAGAGTATAATGAATGCCCATTCTTATCATATAGACTCCCTCCTGCAGGTATCTGAAATGTGTAAACTAACTGAAGATTTAGCACATGCAGCAGAGTTCATCAAACGAGCTTTATACTGCTTAGAATGTGCGTTTCATCCATTCTTCAATATAACAACTGCAAAATGTCGATTGGACTATAGGAAACAACAGAATCGTGCATTTTTTATAACACTTTTTAAACATCTTGGATTTGTCGGTGGACGTGCTTGTTATAGGTAAACATGCATAAATTAAAGGAATATCAGTAAAGATGTAGAATTTACAAATGATGTAAGACTAGATGTAAGAATCTACAAATTAATTTCATTAAAAATTTCAGAACAAGTTTGGAATTATGTAAATTACTTTTGTCATTGGATCCTGAAGGTGATCCATTAGCAGTGGTCTTGTGCATTGACTTCTACGCTTTAAAAGCCAAAGAATATGAATGGTTCATAAAGTTTTGTAATCTGTGGGAGGACTCCAGAAATTTAACTCAATTACCAAATATTGTGTACAGCCTGGCTTTGGCTCATTTTCGTCTGGGAAATAAAACTGATGCGGATACACTTCTGCAAAATGCTCTTATCATGTTTCCAGATGTATTGATGCTCTTATTGGAGAAATGTAGTATACAAACAGACTCGAAGGTATCATAGACTTTAAAAAAATTATCTTGAATATAACACTTTTTGAAATAATTATTTCAGAGCAATATATGTGTGTGTGTGTGTGTGTGTGTGTGTGTGTGTGTGTGTGTGTGTGTGTGTGTGTGTGTGTGGGTGCATGCGTGTATGTTTTGAAATGCTATTTAATTATTTAATTATTTATTAAAATATTGAATTTCTTAGGTAAGGTTTCATGAGTTCTTCTACTCACATGCTAACACATCACCGGCTCTAGAGAAGCTGCAAAAATTATATGTAATGCGTAGCTTCCATCTTTGGAAGGAGACAGGTATTTTACCATGGTTAGAAGAATGTGTACACACTGTGCTAAATCGAGTCGAATCTGGAGATGATTATATCAAATACTGTCAAGTAAAGCGTAGCACACGCTATCGGGGAAAGCTGCCAAGGAACATTTTGAGACACATTATACTTTCAGACTTGCAGGAAGTTATAGTTAACGTCCAGGAGGTAATGTTTTGTATTCTGCATACTGTATTAAAATGCACATATTAAGACAATTTTATTAAAATTTGTATATTGCTTATTCCAGATCCAGGGCGAAGACCCAGTGTTGTCACACGATCCATTACCGCCACTAGACAGCATTGATATTTATAAAAGGCCTACAGCAAACAATAGACCAAACAGTTCAAATTTCTTTTCTCTCTTTTTCTCTTCGCTTTTCAGGAATATCAATGGCGCAGCTGCTGCTTTAAATGATTTGAATTTACTGTGAGTACATTATTTAAAAAAAAAAAAAAAAAAAAAAAAAAAATATCCCGAAAGATAGGAACATATAATCTTAATATTTTGACTTCTCTTTTTTTATCCACTGACTTATATAATTAAACTACTTAAAATAACTTATCAATTATGGGCTATTATAAATTATAAATCATAGATGATTAATAATATAAGGTAATTAATAATATAATTGTTAATAATATAATTGTAATTATTTAACTAAGTAAGGAAAGATCAAACTCATATCGTTTAGACTTTCATTACTCAGTTGTGTATTCACATATCACGATCTTATGACATTTTGTTTGTAATTATTTGTTTAGTGAGGAAAATGATGATCAAGCATAATGACAACTTTCTCTAATTGTGTGGAACTTAACAATACCAGAGAAGAAATCTATGCAAATTGTGCAGTTTTAAATAATACATATACATCGTTTTAAATAGTACATGTAAAAAATACAAAAAAGTAGAATTAATACATATAATAATGAAATAAAAAGATAATGCCAGAATTTGATGTATAAAGAAATTTCATATATACAATTGAAGTTTTGTTAAAATTTTTGCTCTATGTAAAATTGCTTCTATATGCATTCTTATATGCATCATTATATTAAATAACAAATAATTATTTGTAACATTATTATAAATCTGTTATTATATACGCATTTTTTAAAGTCTTGTAAATATGATAAATATATCTATACTGCAGTAAGTAAAATACATAGTGAATTCTATGTACCTCATACTCAGTGTATACAAATATATGTCATACATCATGAACGAAGATTGATTAAATTCCAAGAACAGGAATGTATTAATTTTCATAATCATAGATTCAAGTCATACTCAAACATGCCGACATAATTCTGTAAAAAGAAATATGAAGTGTACCAACAAGTCGGAATCTTTGAATTATTTTTAATTGCATTTAGCACCATGTTAGAAAAACGAAGTAAATATTATCAGATAATCCTTAAATTCATAAATGACAATACTCTTAGAAATTCGATTTCGATTATCCTGCTCGCCCCCTTTATTTCTTAAACCATACTATGAAATACGGGATTATAACGACAAATTCCAGGACCGTACTCTTGGTATGCCTTCTTTGTATGACAAACCGTGTAAAATTCTGGATCACTGGCTAATAATGCACCACCATACCATACTGCACAACGTTGCTTATGATGCGATATTACACGAACATCTATTGGTTTTGGCTGGAATATAAATAAAATTTAATAACAAAATATATTATTTTTCTTTCTAGAACTAAGTTGTTATTATAATATCTACCGTAATATGGCTGCCACTTAGCGTTTCACTGAGCTTAAGCCGAGTGTCGACGATTTTTTTTATATCGCGTTGCAATCGTCTACCAAAGTCTTTAAACATGGTGGAGCCACCTGATAATACAATATTACTATACAATGGTCTTCTAACGTCGATTGGGCAGTTTTGAATCACGTCGTCAACAATTTCATTGAGTGGTGTTGTAAAGTCCGGATTGGAAAACTGAAATATTGAGATATACAGAAAATGTTATAGATATTGATTATAGGTCTGTTCTTTTTAATTGAACTTTTCGCATGGTTAATCTTTTCTTTTTTTCCAACTTTTTTGAAAAAAAAGAGGAAAGATGAATCATGGGCAATAAGTACATACTGACAAAAATAATTTTACATAAATTAATAATTATATGTATGTAGGCAACTTACTTCGGGATGGAAGAATATTTCCGGTCCGAGAAACCTTTCGTATCCAACATCCACCACAAAAGGTTGTTTGGTGATATTGTTAATACCTTCATATTTCTTAATTTTTGTAGGATCGCTATCATATTTGGCAAATTCTTTTGATATATCTGGACATATGTAACAGTACTTCTCTTTGATTGACTTTGCTGTTTCTAATGATTGTTCAGGCGGTATTCCAATCTCTCGTTCTCTCAGCAGACTTTGTATGAAATAAGTAATATCACGACCAGCGATAGGAATGTGTTTTATACAACTTCCTATGACAAAACCTTCTGCCTATAAAAACGCAATAACTTTCTAAAAATCTGACTTCAACGATTCTGACGTTACATGTTTTTATACGTACTACTGGAATCACGTGAGTTACACCATCTCCACTATCAACAACGACGCCTGTCAAAGTACGGTCCTCTACATTCTTAGCTGTCCATGAGGCTGCTAAAGCTAGAACGGCTTGCACAGCTATGTAAAGTCCTGGCACATTAAACGATTCGAACATTATTTCCGCGGTATATTCCCGATTTTCCGGCGTATTTAAAGGTGGTTCAGTTAAGAGAAAATAATGATCCTCTGGCTCCGACCTTAAGTATTTGAAAATGCATTGTTGTAAAAACTTTTCCATCAAATCCCAATCCTCTACTAAACCATGCCTCACTGGATACTGCAAATTAAGAGCCAAAATGCATTTGATAAATATCAGTTATTCAGAAGAAAAAATCAATCTTGCATCAAATGGATTGCGAGTAAATACTTTAACTGAATATCCAGTGGCTTCAAAAGCTTCATCTCCAATATAAGCATCCAGGTCTTCCACACCTTTTGTAATTCTTCTTGCATTATTGTCACCGACTTTAGCTGTCTCCTTGATAGCGATCGCTGACGGTATAGTCAGCTGGGGTTCCTTATTACCAGCAAATCCCAGTTTCGTGTACCTGAGATAACGTCATGATTAGATAAGGCTTGCTTTTTCAAGCTGAACTTTTTAGACAGTTCATTTTTCCTCTTTTTCTCTCCATGTTTGTGAAAAAAAGAGGGAAGATGAACCGTGAAAAAAGTTCAGTTAAAAAGAACAAGTTTGATAATCACGAGCGAAAAGCTCATGTATCACTGAGCATATCATGATTGTGTGTGGGTGGCAAATATTTCTACACACGTCGATACGATTCCGTCATGGGACGAAAGAGATTCTTCATCATAAAGAACGCGAGATGCACGTGAATCATCAAGGGGTAAAGGGGGTTTAGTTCGCAATGGATTTGACCGAAGTTTACGAGCACAGATCTATGTATGATGCATAAAGCATAACAGAATCAATCAATCAAAATTCATTTCATGGAAAGAAAAGACTCCGGTTGATTAATTCTCTTATGTATTATGTGTTATGTAAAGGTCCGTGTTCTGGCCCGAAATGTCATCGATGACAGATCGGTTGATTACCTAACCTAAAACCGACTCCACCCCCCCTCCAAGATCGATCACACCTTTTTTACTGATTCAGGATGATGCTTACCCTGTGCCCACATCGATGACGCACGCGGGGAGACGTCCGAGCATGATTCCGACACTACCGATCGCTCTTATCCCGGTAAATGTCTGACAACGATCGCAGCTAACCAAAACGATACCACGCCTCTCGTCTCGACACACGGTACACACGTTAACGACACCCGGTATGTGGCCTCGACGCGAGAATCGAGATATCGCGATCGCAGCGCACACATCACGAACAGAAAACCTTTGAACTTTGATGTTATTGCAATGCGATTGCGTTCAGCAGAGAAAACACTTCCCAGACATACACATGTCGGAAAATGAGACATAAAATGCTTAAGGCTGCATTTTCAATGCTGACGCTCATTTTCAGCGTCAAAACAGGGCATGTGATCAAAATTAATGCTTGATATTCGTCAATTTTGATCACGTGATCTGTTTTGATACTCAAATCAAGCGCCAACATGAAAATGCAGTCTAATACTCGTATTCATAATTAGGTCTTATATTTAAGACTTTATATTAAGGCTTCCTTACTTATCTTTAGATACTCTACGAATTATTTCATTGGCTGCTGAGCATCTAAAGATAAATTTAAGGAAGCCTTAAGTACAAGGTCTGAATACGAGTATGAATACGAGTATAAAGGCCGAGTTCACACCTTGACGGAAAAGCGAAAGCCAATCGGAACTCGCAGTAGGCACATTTCGCAGTAGGCACATTTTTGCTTCTGTCTTTCCGCGAGTTCTGATTGACTTCAGCTTTTCCGCTTTTCGTTTTTCCATTAAGGTGAACTCGCCTAAAGGTATATGTTCATAGTGTCGCTCATCGCTCATATTCAGCGACAAATGAGTCACGTAATTTTATATGCTCGAATGTCATTCACATAAATGGGCTAAAAAGCGATAAATTTTTTATGGTAATTATATTGTATTGTGTAAAGTGCTGCAAACGTCCAAAATGTCATATCAAAAATATTATCAAATTGATGCGATTGTGCACACAAAAATAAAGCGAAATTACAAAATGGATTAGTAACATTTATATGCATTAATGAATGTAAAGAACGAACAAATTTAAAAAGAAAATATAAAAAAAGAGATTTTGAATTGCTCCTTTACTTGAAAGATGACGTGAACATTAATTTAAAAAAAATTATTATAAAAAATTATCAACGAATAATTTTTTGTATACATTCACGAGTCAAAATGCTCTTTTCGTCTATGATCATTTTACATATGCCACAAGTATGTACAAGTATGTACAGTCATCTGAAAATTTCATGAAATTATCGTAAATAATAACATATAATACAATAATTAAATAATAACATATTGTAATTTAATTAAATTAATAATAAAATTAAATTAATAATAAAAAATAATAATATTTTAATAATACAATAATTAAATTGATATAATATATTAAACGATAATAAAGAAAAGTCGACATATAAATAAAATTGAAAATAAAAATAAAAATAA